GCCGCCCTCCGCACGGCAGAAGTTCACCCCCCCCCCAAACAAAAATTCCCGGAAAAAGGTTCAAAAACGTTTTCCTTCTCGTTAGCAAACGACAGAGCAACCTGTGGACAGCACACATCGCGACCTTACGAAAGGTACATGTATGCACCACATTTTTTTGTTTTTGTTGTACCTGTGCGGGAAGGTCGTGCGCGACCACGCTGCCCTCCTTATAGCTGAAGCCGGCGTGTAGCTCGATGCTGAAGTGAACCGCCGGGCGAGGACGCGCGCCGTGCTGCGGAGCCAGAAACACACGCGACCGATAAACGAAGCGTAGGGAAAGTGCACGAGCAATCGACAAGAGTGGCAGTGCTCAATGGCGGTGTTGTACACCGGCTTGCTTGCGACCGAGTCAACATGGCGGGTTTAACATATTTACTGGCATGCCTCTTACAGCAGTATAGGAGATTGATCAATAACTTGACTGCCGGCATCCCAGCTTGTCTCAATGAGTGCAAGGCTTACAAGTGACCAGACTCAAAAAGTAGCAGGCCAATCCTCGCTGCAAAAAGACACAGACTTCTACAAGGGGTAGCTACAATAGTTGCTACAATAGTTACAAGAAGCGAAACAGCAGCAGTAGAGATACAATAGTTGTAGGCTTCTTGAGCGAAACATCGGCAGTAGAGAGGACAGCAGCTACTAATGCTACCGTGGGTACAAACGTGTTGCCGTTATAGTTTTGTTAACATGTTACATTCTCAGAAGCTACGTTCTTCCTTCAAAGGCTTCCATGACTACGATTTTCGACGTCATGGCTGGTGTTAACCAGCTCGGGACAAAAGGCTCCGTTGTACACGTTCCTTTGATATGCGATTGTCCCCGGCGCTCGCAGGAGAACGCTTTGCACATTCAGAGAAGCTCCGACTGCTGTGAAAAACAGTACCGCGATCTACATACTGCTGTGAGCGTATCTGCACGCAAGCTACGTGCTGCGAGTGGTCAAGCGCAGTCAAAATATTGGTAGTATCTAAATTCTACGCGAAAGCTGCGCGCTGCGTGCGGTGAAAGCGTGGCATACGCTGCTGAAATATACGCATACAAAGAAACATATTCCTATAAGTGGGTGGCCTCTGTAACCAGGCGGGTTCAACCAGCCGCGCCCAAATGCCTACTATAATGCATACACATCCCCGGAAATCGTAAAGAGTAAAAAACAACAAAGAATAACTTTAACGACAGATGTTCGAGCCAAAGGCACAGCAGACAAGCACGTCCAGTACCACCCATGGCTTGACCTCGAACAATCGTCATCCCAAGGAAGACGGGCAGGCGCGTCTCCAAGGATCAGCAAAAACGACGTATCTTCCAACCAACGTTACAGCAGTAAGGCACCAGCAAAAAAGAAAAAAAAAGCGCAGCATACTACTGTACGCAACTCGGAGCGACGTGCATGCAGACAGAACAACGAAGTTGAGGTCGCAAACACACAAAACACAAAACCACCAACAAAAACCAGCACCTCTATACATACCTCGTCCATAAGGTAATTGGACGACAGCTCTGCCCCAAGGCTCCGGTGCGCGTTGACGGCGTCCCTGACGTCGTAGTAGGCCACGAAGATGACCCGCTTGCGGCGGTGCTCGGCCCGCAGGTAGTACAGCGGCCCGTGCCCCTCGCACGCGGCGCGGAGCTCGTCCTCGCCGATGGCCTCGACGTTCCACAGCACCAGCGCCCTTGACGGCCTCTCGGTTAGGAACTCCATCAGCTCCGCCCCAGCGGGCGCGTTAAGCACGGCGGTCCAGCTCTCATCCAGGTGGGGGTTGCCGCCGTTACCGCCGTTGCTGCTCGAAGGCCGGCGCAACCGAGCGGCGGCGGCGGCGGCAGCGGAGTTGTTGGTGCTGCTGTTGGTGCTGCCGTTCCACGACCCCACCGAGGAGCACGAGTCCAAGCCGAAGCCGGGGGGGGGCAGCGCTCCCGGGCTTCCCCGGCTGTTGTTGCTGTTGCCGTTGCTCCCTGGAGGGTACGCCTGCTGCTGCCTCGAGCTGTCGTCGTCGTCCAAGCGGCCGCCCCCCATCACCAAGCCGCCGCAGCTGCTGCTGCGGAGCTGGCGGTGGTGCGTGCCGCCGCCATCGGCGCCACCGCCTTCCTCACCGCTGTCGCAGCCGTACAAGCTCCCGCGGGAGGAGGACGGAAAGTGCTCGTTCTGGACGCGCGCCTGCTGCTGCTGCGCGGTCAGCCAAGACGGCTGCCGGGCGGGGGGAGGCGCGAGCGCCGCCAGCGGCAGGAAACCGCCGTCTCCGGGCGGTGGGGGGGGCGGGGGCGGGGGCGAGCCGGCCCCGGGGCCGCCCTCGAGGAGGCCATGGTGGCAGCCGTTGTTGGCGAGGTTGGCGCAAGCCCGCGCCTGCTGCTCGCCCACGTCCAGGTTGTTCATCGCCAGCAGCAGGTCCGAACCCACGCAGTCGACCAAGTCGAGGTTGGTGCTGCTCTGTACCCGGTGCGGCGTCTGCTGGGCGGCAAAGACCTGCAAAAAGCACCAGTAGTCCAAGGCAGAAAAAGATGATGGATTGCACGGGAGGGAGGTAACAGGGGTGGCGTGTCGGCGCGTGTTGGCACGAATGAACTAGCTACATGCATCGGCAGTGATGGCGACACATACTTTCGAGGGTATGGGTAGGTGTGTATGATATGCCCAACGAACTGCCGAACAAAAGGCGGGCCGCAGGTTGAACGGCGCGGGCCAAGCAGCTGCTGTTCTGCCCGCTGCCTCTCGGGAAAAAAGCGAGAGAGAGAACGACCATCGCGCGTCTCGGACCACGAAAGGGAAACGCAGCGGGCAAGCGTGCAGCCTCGACATCTCACCCGCCGCCGGGGCAAAGGTGTACACTACGTGGCTGAGGTTTTGTTGTCGCGTTCTGCAAGCAGGAGTGCAGGGCGTAGCAAGAAGCAAGTCTTCGCGTGAGAGGGGGGAAACACCGATACAGTATTCAGGTCTCCACAGGTGACACTTCTTCCGGAACCAAGCAAGATATGCTGCAAAACAGAGAGTTCCTATGCAGACAAAACAAAAGACATTGAAGACACCCACCCACACCGACAGCGACTTCACTAGACAAACCGCGCCACAACCTTGACTTCCCGGGCTGTGTGCCCCCGGGCGCACTCCGCCCACGGGATGGCGGGCGTGACAGCGGCCAGCGCACCAATCGCCTGCCTTGCTTCAACACCATATATGCATTCTGCTGTAGCCCTGTGGGCCAAAAAAACACAAATGACAAAGAAAGAGTCAATAGAGACAGCGAGGGAACAGAGTTCCACGCCCCCCAGCAGCGAGCTTACCGGTGGTGGTCGCTGGGACACCATGACGGACACCGAGGAAGAGTACTGGTCGGCAGCCGATGAGGGGGAGCCGCGGCTCGCGTCGTCGCCTAGGCCGTCGCCAGCAGGCATGTCAGATGGCGCCTAGATGGAAGCCAACCGCCGCCACACCTAAAGGAAAACACAGCAGCAGCTGTCTCTTTTTGTTTCCGACTTCGCTGATTGAAACGACGCTGCGCCCTCGCAAGCTTGCTCCGGGAGGGCCTGTTTCGAAGTCGTATATCTCGTTGTCGTCACGGGAAAGGAAAGGTGGCGCCCTATGCATGTGATATGATCATCAGTCTGCCACAATGTCTCTGAGAGAGAGAGAGAGAAGCAACCAAAGACGAGTTGAAGCAATGTTGAAGTTGGAGGAGGCGTTATTCACCGGGAGTTGAGCCTGACCGAGTAGGCGGAGGCCGTTTGGGGTCGAAAACATGATCTCCCCCCCCCTGTCTGCTCCATGAACCCTCTGGCTCTGCAATGCCCAATCAGCAGTTGACAGCGCAGCGGGCACTGCGTGACCACGCACGAAAGTGCGAAGGTATGCATACATTATATTAGTAGTGCAGAGGCACGCCTTACGTGCTTTTGCCACTCTGTCCTACTTGAAGATGATGAGAAAAAAAGAGAGGGCAGGATCGATCGATGATGATGTGGGTGACGGCGATGGATATTATACATACATACATGGATACCTCTTCTTCCTAAGACTTGTTCTGCAAGAACCTCGATGTCGATGAATGTGTGCATACGCGATGGGTCCGCAGTCGTTCATTGGTTCACACTGGCAATGATATACATTAGTAGTTTTGTTTTTTTCGCGAGCAGTTGGTGGTACATACATCATGATGATTATGATCCATCAGGCGGGAAAACGCACACTGCTGATGATATACTGTACACTCGTCACGCCCACCCGCCCACCCAACCCACCCAGCCACAGGCAAGTAGCCCCCCTCGAACGATATAGATAGATTTCGTCCACGTGAAATACACTTGGAAGAGAAGGTCAACAATACTATATACTTGTAAAAGTACAGTACGTTGTAAATGAACGCATGTGAGACAGCACTTTGTCGCAAAAAAAGAATGTTTCGATTTTCTACTCGGTCCCATGAAAGCTCGCGAGTACCCCCCACACCAAGCACAAAAACATGCCAGCACGTCATGCGATGCGGGAATAAAATGCTTTGAAGTGCGACACCAGCTATCTATCTACATATTATATATCGTCTGTCACAGGGAGCAATGCTGGCTGTACAGCAGTATTTCAAACATAGCGTCTAGGCAAGGCAAACGATCGTCCGTGTCGCGTCAAGACCGTCGTCGAACCCGCGTCAACCTTTAGAATGTACATATATTGACCAGGATCTTGATAGTCCGGAAAACTGCGTCACGTTCGTTGATTCACAGTCATATAACGCTGTTAATTTACACATATACACTTACCGCCGCCGAGCTCCCAACAAGCTTGCGACAACGCAACAATTCGCAAACAATCTCTGTCTCAAAAGAAAAGCTTGATGACATGGTATTCGTGAAGCAACCCGTTTTCATTGTCTGCTCTCCCCCAACAGAACCCGGCTTGAGAACACACAGCGCGGAGTGCAAGCTTCTTCTGTAAGGATTGCAGCCATCAAATCGATCCCTCAAGTTGGTGCTCAATTTGCTTTCCCTCCGACCGCGGCCAGCTTACACTCGAGCTTCGACCTCTTCTTGCTGCAGTAGCAGCATGCCCAGTTAGGCAGGTGGTTCAGCATGAACGGCTTCACGTCGCCGCAACCGCCGTGACAGTGCGCCGCACAGGAGGCGCAAAGCCAGTTGAGCTTGCACGCCCCGCAGGAAAAATAGTCCACCCGTTGCTCTTGTTGCTGCTGCTGCTGCTGCTGAGCAAACTCCACGGCGAAGCACGGTTTAATCTCCTCGCTCTTCAGCAGCACCGGTCCATCCACAACCAGCGCCCAACCCGCCCCGACTCGCCCCCCCGGGCTCTGAGAGAACACGGTCTGCGTAGCGTCACTGAGCGGATGAACCTGTCCTTCCGCGGCCACAGCAGCGCTATTACTACCATCGCCGTTACCGCCGGCGGCAGCGGCACCAACTCCTGTACCAGCCCTCCTTGTTGCAGACAAGGGCTGCAAGTAGAGACGCGTGGTCGAACCAAAGCCTCGGACCTCGTCTCCGGAAGCAGCGTAATGTGCGCGCACCTGAGTGCGTCAAAAAGAAAAATCAAACGTAGGAGAAAGCGCGCGTGAATATCGGTCACTGGTTGCATGGACGTGCATACAACGGAGGGGACGAAATAACCAAGCGCTCGCACCTCTGCTTTCTACATGTACAATATGTTTGCCGTATCGGTTGCCTACCGTTCCCATCAAAAGTCACGAAAGGGCTCAATTCCGCACGCCGTTTGATCAGCACCTTGCCGTAGATGTTTTCCGGAAAGTGCGTGGGGAGCAGCTGCGTGTCGAACCGAACGCCCCTCGAGGCCACGATCAACGTCACCGTGCAAGGCAAGAGGCTGGGCGGCGGCAGAGCGGCCGCGGCGTGTGCGTCGAAGTCCCGCAGCAACGCCTCCATCCCGGCGTTGAACCTCGCCTCGCTCTCTTGGATGGCTCCTTGCAACGCAGCCGCCCTACGCGCACGTGTTTCCGCCTGCCCCTGGCACGGCGTCGTCTCTTCCCGTCGCACGGCGGACAGCTGCGCCGTAAGGTCGCTAACCTCAGCCGCATGCGCCGCGCGTTCGCGGGCGTAGTACGACTGATACCCAAGAAACGCCTCTCGCATTCGTCTGACGAGAACTTCTTCGACGGGAGACAAGCCCGCCGGAGAGGGCGGCACCCCCCGTGGTAGAGGAGGTTGATTTTGCTCGACGGGCTGTGTTTCCCCGCGGAAATTTCCCGCCGAAAATGGAGGTTTCGGAGGAAACCCGATAGGAAAGCGGGCGTCGTCGGATCCCACATGCGGATGATCACGATCGTCGTCTTTTCCCTTCCCCTGAGCAGCACCAGCCCCAGCCGTGCCGCCGGCTGCGGTATCGAACAGCAGGCGCATGTAGGCCACGTCCGTGTCCTCCGTGGCCCTGCGCAGGGTGCTGGTAACCTCGTCCACCAGAAAGTTGCGGATCAGGCCGGCCTCGCCCCCTATCACCCCGACCTGGCACACGGGGCAGCAGTGCTTGCGGGTCACGGCGTCCCCCGCGCACGAGCGGCAGAAGCTGTGTCCGCAAGGGGTCACCACGCAATCCTTCACCATCTAGGGAGCGGGAGAAACAACGGCCGGGGAAGGAAAGGTGTGTGTGTGGGGGGGGGGGGGGTACTCATAGTCGTGCATGCCGTAGTCGTTAGACCATTGACCTCGCATCCCTACAAAGCCGGGACGGAGCACGCCGGGTTCTCACCGGACCAGGCTCTCACATCACCAAGCGCGAAGCGCCGTGAGGTATTCGGCGAGTCGCATGAAGGGTGCGCTGTATCCTGCTAAGAGTGTTCGGCATCTTGTGCTTACTTCCTTGCGTACAGATGACAGCTGCGTATGACTTAATTTATTTTCTGGTGAATTCACTTCCAGAGACAGTTGTAAGCCCTGTGTAACTGCCTCGAGGATGCTTGACCATTATAACACAACGTGCGATTATCCCCTTTGCGCGGAATGAGGGTTCTCGACCTCGCACAACATAATCTACTCGACCACCATTCATGGTTACCGCCAAAAAAAAAGCCAAAGGCAAAAAAAAAAAAGGTAAACCTGGTTGCCGAGCTCACGAAGTGATCGGCTTTTTTTACAACATGGCTGCCAAGGGACGACAACCCCAACCCCGATGGCAAACCCCGGGATGGGGGGGGGGGGGGGGGGAGCGGGTTTTCTCAGCGACGCAGGTGGAAGAAGCTCTCAAGACGAGGACATCGTCAGTCAACCGTGGATTGGGGGGAATCTGCCGCTCACCCGAGAAAACAGCAGGTTGTAGTTCTGAGCGGCTTGGGTCTAACATAAACTGATCTATATATCCGGTTGGACTCAATGCTTGAGCGTGAACAATCTGTCACGAATGCGTACTGAAGCTCTTTCCTGAGCATGTCTTGTGTGAGGATAAGTGCAAGGGTGCAGAGAGCTGCCCGGAAAGGCCTTGCTTGTTAAACAGGCAGTGTACCACTGGCCTACATTGTCAGCGTTGACTGAGTGGTCTCAGGGATCAGTCCCTTGAACTTGGCAAGAGAAACGTCGAGAATTCGATCCCCGACATGCGCCAACTATTGCGCTGTCTACATCAGATAAGCTGGGAAGTTTTGAGTGATGTAAGCAGGATACGCACGAACTATATATCTATATCTGCATCAGGTAAACAGGGAACTGCGAAGAAGAGACGCACTCTTGATCTACAAGCAGCAGCGCAAGGGAACATGTGAAGGAGCGCAAACCGCAGATAGTAGCTTGGTCCGAGGGAGGAAAAGGTAATTAAACGTCGCTTGACGCTCGTGCTCCACGCTCGTGTAGTTGCTTGTTATTGCTCGAGAGAAGGTCTGAGCTGAAGTGGGGATCCAACTTCAGCTCAGGGGGCACGCACAGCAGACAGTTCTGATGGTATGGGCACCATGAAGGTTTTACCTCTTGGCCATCCCACATCCTATCCTCAATAAAAGACACCCTATTCATGCCAAAAACCACACTCCTCAATGGAAGGGGGCCACACTCCCCGGAGATACGATGACACCGGGAACCGACCACCTCATCCCCTTGCCTTTGTTAAGTTGAACGGGGCCAATCGCTAAGAACCTAAATCACTCAGTCAGCGCTGACCGAACGGTTCGCCGACTCAGTGGTCTAAGTTCTACTTGGCCTTCACAAACACAACAATAATAAATTGTGTTTTTCGAAATAAAAACCACCCCATATATTATGCAGTATTTGTGGTAGACCAAAATGTAGAGCCGCTAATTTTGTTTTCGCACAAGAAACGCCTCCATATTTTGAATCTAGGGATTAGCCACAACAGTCTATCCAGCCTGGAATTCCACTGCAAAGCAAACGAAGAAGAAATAACCTTGTACCCTGTACAGAAAACCCCAATGTGAAAAGTCGTGTTCAAGGTTTGGCAAACAGTAGGAGACATGGAGACGCAATGATTCATCCCTGTTTTTATTGTTTCCGTTAGCATATTCCCTTGACAGAGTGTCGGAGCACGCGCTGGTTGTTTCGACTCCGGAAGGTCGACTTTCAAACGATTCGAGAGGATCGTTCGTTTACGAGTCCAATCGTTTTTTTAGGCGATATTTCGGTTCACCTCTGCTGTACAAGCGTTATACATGGCCACGCCATGCAATAATAATCGTGTTCGACTGATGTCGCGCACTCGGCACAACAAGGGCTGGGGATCTCTTCTCAACATGACGCCAACAAGCTGCACGTTTGCTGCTTTCTCGGCAGGGGTGCATGCAACACCGGAGTTACAGCAGCTGCTAAATAGTCGACCACCAGGGTTTCGCCGGCATTTCTGGGCGTGCTCTATGGCACGTCAAGCAAGTAATAGGTCACAATATAACTCTCACTCAAAGTCACCAGGAGGCGCTCACGAGAACGCCCGCGTCTCGAAGTGCTTCTCATCTACGGTAGATTCTCGTGCGAACGTCAGCCAACATCGCACGAGGAACGTGCTTAGGATCGTTCTGGGAACCAACTCCGATCTGCAGGCGCGATGCAACAACGTGGGCACAGAAGTTCTACAGAAATAACCGTTGTGAGAGCTGATGATGCGGCTTTGCTGTTCTGTTGTTCCACTTCGATACCACCACTCCGGCCGAACGCCATACCTACCCACACACGGCAGGATTCTCCCCAAACGATGGGATCCTCTGCGTGTGTCCGACGAAGTCCTCCAGCACATGCACATCACCCTTGCCCCCTTTGTGACTCTCTCACCTCGAGGCATAGCGGACAGCTCAGCGCCGCGGCTAAAGCGTCCACCCTGGCAAACTTTTCCCTCTCCATGGCGTGAATCCACGAAGCTGTGGCCCGACTTGATGGTGTCTTTGATGGCGCTGGATCGACGGAAGGGTGAACTGAGGAATGCGGAGGAACAGCTCTCTCCATCGTCGCATTGTTGAACACCTGGGGTCCCGGGGGGGGGTCGAGTTTTTGCGAAACGTTGGTGATTATGCCGCAGTCCCCATTTTCAAACGTGTGGCATCCCTCTCTCTGGCCCCGCCTCTCTCCTCTCGCCCTACTGCTGTATCCCTCTACAACAACACTTGATAATGCGGAATGAAAGACGAAAAGGTGGAGTCAACTGTGCACTACAGTATATACCTGCCCCCCGTTCAATGTTATTTTTGCCTGGAGGACAGCTGTGCATCTGTTTCTTCGCTCATCGTACATATCGACATCGTATGCCAAAGTATCTTCGCGCCTTTCGGAGGCCGAGTCCTCAGGTACGCCGCGACACCCGGCGACTAACGTTCTAACCAGAAGAGTGTGGCCATCCAAACAGTAAATGCGCCAAGCAACCGATCTGCCTATCTATGGAGTAAGCAACGGGCACAAAAAGGTACTGCGCATCCAGCATTAGTGCCAAGCGGAGGGGATAGTCTGGTGAGCTCATTTGACAGACGCGTCCAACGGCGGGGCCGGCGCATGAGTGACCAACTGGTTTAGGACCAACATTGGCAAGAGGGCAAGGGAAATGAGCAGCCGGGGGGGGGGGAGTTACGGAAGGGAAATCCAATGTACCTGCATCGACGTCTCTGTCGTTCGCAGAGACCACCCGGGAGTGTATTAGCCCGCATCCCACGTCGTCGTGCAGAGTAGCTGCCAGGAGATAAGAAATCAACGGCGAGTTCGGATCGAGGCCCAATCTCTTCACTTGGGCCGATAAAACTGCCGACGACGTTGTTTTATGTTGTGTACTGCTGTGCTGCCGGCTTAGAAGTCAACATCATTCGTGATCGCCTCGTCGATTTACATATATTCCAGAAGTCGAAAATGAGCCACGATGTCGCGATCGATGGCCAGGACCGGCGCGAAAGGCACCATCAACAAAGGACCTTCGGGTATCAGCTGCACAAATTCACTAGCAAAATCGGCAAAAAAACGTGGTAGTATGTTTGATCGTCCGGAAGCATGACGGAAGCAAAGAACACAACAAACCACCACACGCCCGTGAGGATCCCCCCAAGGGGAGAGTTGATCTGATCCGGCGAAGGAGGGAAGCAAAAACAAACAAAAAATCCGGTTTGCTACGAAGTGTAAGCCGCACGCGTCGTGTGTTCGATGCGACTGCCGCTGCGCTGGTGCTGGTGAATCATAGCATAGCATCGGCTGCTGCTCACACGCGCTAGTATCCCATCCCTGCTTGGAATCGCAATTCTCTTGTCTACGTTACCTACTTCGTTTGCGTATACACATCGTCATCCATCCCGGAATATCAACCGTGCCCCAGGATCCGCAGCTGCCATGGTGCATATTTTCACGGAACAGCATACCATGGTACTTGTTTGCTCCCCCTTTCACGGAAGAGCAACTATACCATGGTTTTGCTTTGTTCCTTTTTACGGATGGGCCAAAAGGACAGCCAGAGTCAGAGAACCGCGTGATCCGCAGCTACGTACATATAGCAGCCACGGTACTTCTTTATCCCTTTCACGGAAAAGCATACCATGGCTACTTCTTTGCTCCCTTTCACGGAAGAACATGCATACCATGGTCCTTTTTTCGCGAACGGGCCAAAAGGACTGCCCGACGCAGTCAAAGAACCGCGTGCTCGTCCATGAGCGATGTGTCGCGGGCGACAGCAAACCGCCCTTCCCCTGGCGGCAGCCGACTCCCGCCGAAACCGTGACCCGCACCACCCTCTCGCCTTCCTCTCGGTGGAACACCCCTCCCCGTATCCTGCAAACTCCCGCCACCGTCGCCACCGCTGCCCCTGGCGGCGGTGTCCCGCTGTATTTGTTCGATCTGCAACCGCACGGTTCGCCTGTTTTCATAGGGGGGCACGCGGCGAAACGTCCCGGGGAGAGGGGGGGAGTCGACTGGTCACAAGAAGGTACGAGGTGTTGCGATGGTCACTCGTGTATGTTCTGAAGCTTTAGCTTCAGTCTCATCGTTCGATATCCGTGGATGGAACTTTCATTCGCATCCCCCACCCCTGGCCCGACCCGGTCTCAAAGGCTGATCTCGGGCTACAGTGCAGATCTCGTGGCGCCTGAAGTATGGTTGGGTAGGGAATTACAAACCATGACCCCTCGCCGAGTTTGAGCAGCTTGCACCTCCTGCGGCCGACACTACTCGGCCTTGACTGTTCCTTGTCTGTTTCGCCATGGGAACGGCCGGTTGAACAGCGAAGTAGGGTCCTGCGTGCTGCGCGCCACAACCTTCTTTTTTTTTCGTTTGTGATTTTCTTCCTGAGTGACCGTTGTGCACATGCGGTTGCTGCAGTATATGCTCGGAATGTGCTGCAAAGGTCATAAGGTTATCGTCTCTGTCGGTTTGGGCTACACGCGTTGCTCGCGTAGGCGATGCGCGTCTCCTACTGTACTTTCTTCCCAGTGTCGTTATCCATGAAGAGCAACTGCAGCACAGTTGAAGAGACAAGCAACAACAGGCGGTCCGCCTAGTTTTTTTTTGTTTTTCTGCATGCAGCGCAATCATATTTAAGTAGTGAGGCATGATAACCAACAGTCTGCTCGTTCGTGCAGCGGTGGGCATCTATCGCGGACGGCAAGCGTATTGAGATAATAATGTAGTTCGTCCGTGGTGCTAGTCAGTCATGTTCTTCTTAGTTCTCACTTCCTACCACAAAAGATAAAAAGTCCACAGTTTGCAAACGGCGACTAATTTTTTTTGTTGTGTTGTTTGTTGTTGCTGAGCCAACATCGGATATCGCCGTTCGATACACATCATGTAGTCTGACAGCCTGCGGTGGGCCAGAGGGACGAGAGTGAGTGTCTTCTCGAGACTTATTGCCTTGTCTTCTCTCCGCTCTTTTCTCTCTCTCTCTCGCCTTTCGCCGGTGGGATCCCAACAACATCGAACGTCAACCAACCGCAGTCGCTTTGCTTCTTGCTGAGTAAGAGGCTACCCGTGCATCCGGCTGCTGCATGTGAAGCGATGGACGCTGCCTCTTTATGTCAAACAATGGACTTGGGCCCTACCTAATGTTCGCTGCATATGCAGTGCGATGTGAGAGCTTCCAGCGGCCCAGAGCGAGCGGCGACGGTGGTTTTCCTATGCTCTATTTTGCCTCCTCCCTGAAGCGTGTCGCGTCTGGCTCGTTTGTTCTCGCTTCTTTCATTCTTATTTTATTTTTCATGCTTGTTTTTTGGGGTCCCCCGGTTCCTGTGTCGTCTTCTTGGTGTCTGCCTTGATTGTTACCCGCTGAAAAAATCGAAAGCTTCAGACAAGCAACGCGGCGATGCTCGTCGAGTTGCCATACACAATGATGTTTAGGGTACTCGAAAAGGTCGATAGCATGTTTACGGGATCTTTGGTTAGCGACGTCTGGTTGTAGGTACAATAGATACTAGACATGGCGGCGTAATGAGCCGCTGGGTAGCGACTCAATACCTTGCAGTAGTCTTATCTGCGATGCTGATGGTGCATGAATTCCGACACGGAGCAGGGTGAATCGTTTGTGGTGCAGCTACGCGTGCCCCAGAGGGACAGGCTGCAGGGCTGCAGGGGTGCGACGATGGTTCTATGTGCGGCCCCGTTTAAAATGTTGCACTTTACATGTGGTTGTTTCCTTTCCGTTGATGCACATGCATACATACAGTTAGCGCCCGCAATTAAGAAACGCTTATTTCAGGTCCAGCCTCGAATTCTTATTGTGGGCTATAAACTCAGCGTATGTCGTTCAGTTTCTTATATCGTGTTTCTTATTTTTTCGTGCAGCCAAATCCTGCTGAATTTAAGTCGGCAATTTATTATTTCTCTGCTTTCCTCGCCCCCCGTACTCAACCCCGATTCTCACTACTGACGGCTGCACGTAAGGCCACTCCCTAGAAGCGAAATGTATTCAACGGCAACGTCTTGCTATCGCTACAAGGTCTTGTACCCCCCTCATGAGTGAGGGCTGAAACTAAACAAATGCATGAACACCGCATGATGCCTCACCCGCACGCTGACATGCCAACAACGAAAATCAGAGCTTTAGCGCCAGCAGAGCAGAGCGCAGAGCCCGCAGGGGGCCGGAGGGGGCGCCGCAAAAAAAAACACTCCCCCCTTGGCGTACAACTAATAATAATGCACTATGGGAGGGGGGGGGGGTAGGGGGAGAGGGGGAAAGAGCGAGAGAGCTGTGGGGTTTGTTTCTTATTCGGCGCACTCCCCCGTAACCCCTCGTTTCTTATGTAGTAGGGCAGCGGTCGCTGCTGTGTTTCTTATTGAGATATTTCTTAATTGTGTGACTCAGATTGAGCAATGTTTCTTAACCCTATTTTCTTACTTTTCGTGAAAAAGTGAGCCTCAATTTCTTAACAAAATATTTCTTAATTGCGGGCGCCAACTGTACCCCACGAAGAAACAAAATGTGTGAAGTCTTCCCGTTGTGCGGATGCAAAAACACGCACGCACATCATCAGGGCATCTGGAAGAGAGGCACGCATGCGGCATGTACCTGGCGGCGAGCGTATCACACATCACACCGTCGAGGAGCACGACCAGCAGCGTAGACTAGGATTGTGACAAGACAGATGGAAAACAAACATTATGTCAGACTCACAACTTGCCCACCACATTCATTCGTCTCAAGCCTTCCGAGTTCCCGCCAAGTGAAAGCAAGCAGTCTACATTGCGAAGACAGTCAGTAGCGCGGCGCAAGTACGCAACCCGAACCGACCCCGCGGGGAACCATCCCGATAACGCACAGCAGCAGTAGCCCCTCACGCTCTCGACGGATTCTCTCGATGGTAGGTGAGATCTCTGGACTTGGAAGGTGTGTTATGTTGTGTGTTGTTGGTGTGTGCATGGTGTGTGATATAATAATCGGTCTGTTGTTTGTTGTTTTGGAAACAATCGGTTGGACCACTCAACACCAATACACACCCGCCAGGTTACACACGGCGCATGACTATACCCACGGCGCACAGGTCGTATAGGCCCGGGCCCTCCTGGTTATCATAGATAGCTGGTCTCGGATCAGCGTCCTGTTGTTCTCCTTCTGCTGATGTGGTGTTGTCCTCCCGGTTTGGACTCTACCGCGTGTCTGTGTGTATGTGCAGTGTGCAATCTCCGATGGCTCGGGCATTTTACCTCTCCACAACTCCTGGGCATGCGGGGATGCGATCTCCTACGAAATTGGAAGAGCGCATAATTTTTCTTCTTGCGCAGAAGTGAACACATCGTCAAACGGTGCCCTATCGGTCTCGTTCTGGTCCGAAAGGTGCGATAAATATGCGTCACGGAAATCAAGTTTTGGGGCACCTGTATCGCGCGGCGCAACTTTGGTCGATATATAGAGCCTTTTTTTCTTGCTGGGGATGAGAAGGAAAAAAGGTCGCTCGCTTCGCTCGCTCCGCGGCTCATTATAACAGGTGTGAATCCGGGGGTCCCTTATGGCTCTGCTTACATTTGTTCACTCGGCCATCTAGTTAAAGGTCTTGGGTCGACCTGACTTATGTTTCGGCCTCTAACGAAGCTTCTCGCACCCACAATTGATTTCTGCAATCGAGAGATGTGGTGTACAGGGGTGGTGCAGGAGAAGGTATCGGGAGAGCCCACGAAGCATGGAGCCGAGGACTCTAATGGTTCTCGTTCATAAACCTTGACGAACGACGAGCTCGTTCAGGCCTTCGGTGGCACTCAAGGCAATGGTCCAAAACACACGATGGAAAATACCCTAGTACCAACAAACACGTGATTCGTCCGCCCTTACAGGCTAGCGCGAAAGAAAAGCTGACCGCCTCTTGGGAATTTGAAGGAGGCATCGCTCGGATTTGGGGCCCCGTTGGCTGCACGTAGTCGACGCGTGGGTACCACAGAGCTCTATTACATGGCTCATGAGCTGACGTTGGAAAACCATGTGGGCTACAAAAATGTACGGTACAGAGTTTGGGAACTGCGGATGCCAAACGGTGATGAAGATGGACAGCTGGCAAGAAATAAGGACGGAAAGGATCATTCGTCTGGCGGGGTGCCGGTGGGAAGAAGGACAACAAGGCGGCTAACACGATTATAAGGCGGACGAAAACAGCAGCATCACCAGCGGCAGCAACAACAATAACTGCAACAGCAACGGCAACGGCGACGACGACAACGATAACAACAACAACAACAACAACAAGCAAAACCAACCATGTTTCCAATTGATCCGAACCCCCGTTGTCTACACTTCGACAACAACAGAGTACTACAACAATCGGCCTCCATGTTACCTGATGCCGAAAACTAACGTGAGCAGCAAGACGACCCCCAGCACGAGAGCCGCCTTCTCCTGCAGCGTGTGCTTCCTCGACATCATATTCTCGAGCGAATCAATCCTAGCCCCGATCGGGACAAGCACGAAGCTCTCCAGGGACAAGGCCAGCGCAGTCACGCCCGCGTACATCCTGTTACAAGGGAGGCATGTGTTGTGGTGTTTGTCTTTCAAGAGGGGAATTATGTTTCGTCGCCGACAACGGGTTTTATTCTTTGGTGTTATTGCAACTCGGGGCTAGATGAGACCGTTCGCTCATCACACTTGCCCGCCCACAAAACCCAATGGAATAGCACGCCGGGTTCTCACCGGACCACGCTCTCGCATCACCAAGCGCGAAGCGCCGTGAGGAATACGCGGGGGGGCATTTTCCTCGCCTTCATCAACGCACCATCGATCACGGGGCTTCCCTACTGCGGGCGAGACAAGACAGCTCCGGCGCAACATACTCTTGTTGCCTCCTACAGTACGCCCGAGACGCAGTGCTTGCTCCTGGCGCGAGTTGATTAACAGGCGTGAGGAGCAGCGTTCAGTCCAGCCATATCCCCGAGATCCCCCCAACACTGACTAAAACCACGATATGGCGAAGCACAGCCGTAGACCCTAAGGGGCACCAAGGCCGTCACCTGTGGCACTACCCGCATCGTCATTGCCATTACCAGCGTCAACACGAGCGACGGCAACAATCACAACGAACAGCATGAGCAACGATAAAAAACATCAACATCGCCACCACCATCACCAACAACAATATCAACAACAACAACAGCAGCACCAACGGAACAAAATATGGCACAACCTGCTGCCCCGCACCGTCGTTCCTCCAGGTCAGGTCTTACCTTACGGACACTGCCAGGCTGCCGCATCCGTAGTTCTTCAACGCTGCGGGTAGAACAGAGAACCTCAGCAACGCCATCGTCTGCTCCAAAGCCGAATGAAAGAAAAGCGTGTCCGTTATCTTGGCCTCATTGTTACGAGGACGCTGATAAAGACTGTTTGTTATCATGTCGGGTGTTTATTCACCGTCCTCCGCCGCCGTGGGTGGCAAATATATCACAGAACCTCGCATTCCCAAAACCCCACACAACATTGGGCTCTTTTCCCTCCCAGCA